CCTCTCAACAACATAATATATAGGTATTATTTATTATGTCTATTTTATAGAGTAAGATAGTGATGCATAGAGACATTAGTAAATGGTCAGCCAGAATATAAACACAGGTAATACAGTATAGATCCTCATAATTCTCACTGTCAAGGAATATGTTATAAAAAAATAAATGTATGTAAAAGATCTTTTTAAAAGAACATATAGGAGTCATTAAAACTGGTAACTAGTAAATGAACAAAGAGACCAATAAACAACACCAGTTTATTTAAAAGGCAAAGTGTATTACCTTTTAATATGTGTACAATTATTAAAGCACATAGAATTAATGTAATTTTTATGAACATAGAGAAGTAGCTACATTATATAAAACGTAAATGCATAGAGTTGATCAGTAACTATTGGTACAAAGGAAATAATAAAGTAATAATTTTGAAGAAATTAGAATATTATGCTCCTTTATACAGTTATGCAGTTAAAGTAGGTATTCACCTGAATATTAACAGGGAAGAGAAAAGAAACATAAATGTATGTAATAATTAGCTGGAATCTGATGGTATAGCAATGCTTCCCTGGATTTTGAGCTGTGTTTTCTATAATAATAAAAACATAATATGCTAATTAGACCAGACATCCTTCGGGACGACCTTTTAGATGAAGCCAGGGCTGCGAGGGAAGCCCGGGTCCCGGGTGCCAGAGGGAAGCTGGTGCCAGCAGCCAGGGGATGGAAGGCCTACTGTTGCACGAATTTCATGCATCGGGCCTCTAATAATAATAAAACTAGATTATATTGGTATTGGAATAATCCAAACACTCCTCTGATTTGCTAATATTTTTAACTACCTATGCAATGCACAACTCATATTATTGTTATCATGCTTTGCATTGCTGTGCTCTATGCCTCTTGTCTCCACTTCTCACAGCTAGGTCTTTCTGTTTTAACCAGCATATTAGATTCAGGGTAACATGTGGATGCTTTTTACAGAATGATATAATGCATCCAATATGTAATAACAGTATGGTTTATGTACATCTAAACTAATTTCAAAATTAAGTTCTATCTGTGTATTATTTAGATTATAAAGTAAAAATTAACTCAACAAATATTTATTGATCTCATGGTCAGTTTTGGAAAAGCCCAAGAGTTAATAGGATTAAATACTTTGAAGTTTTTCTCAACTGACAGCCACCCTAGGCTACATTTGGTCTATGTGTGTGAGCTGGGGAAAGGTACCTAGATTTATTACTGGAAATACTAATATGACTATAGTATAATGACTCATAAACTGGAAAAAAAAATACCACAGTAAGAGATAATAAAGCAGCTCATATTACATACCTAAATTTTATTTTTATATTTAACTACAGACTAAGAATATCCATTATAGGACACTAATTATATTACTAATATTGTGTAAATGCATAGGACATGTGAGCCATTGAGATGACCAAAGAATGGGTTCAGTGTTGACAAATATTATATTCTGATCTTTGCATTTTGAGTAGTAAATCTGTTCCTTGATAGGGAATATGCTAGCAGAGACAGTGTAAAACAAGTACAAAAATGCCATAAATATTTAGGGACAAAGTGTGCAATAACTATGGAGATAATGTGTGTAGGTGCATTCTATATCTTTTTGTTGCACATTTTATTCACTTTATTATTTTAACTTCCTTTTTGTGTCCAGCAATGGTGATATTTTTCTGTTCATTGTTTGATAGTAGTATGTGTCTCCTCGGATATTGATAATATACTCAAGACTTCCGTTTTATTTTCTTTGATAACTACAGCACAGAATAACTTTTACTCAGACATGTTAGTCCATTGTCCAGAACCCTTTAATATGTAGCATGTGCAGCTTCCCATCAATATCAGTATCTCTGGAAAAGAATTCTGGAATCCTTCATATGTGATTTTTGCTGCTCACTCAGAAGAGCAATGATAGATTCCAAATCTTTAGTATTTAGCCCTAACTATATGCAGTGAGCCTTAGAAAAATTTAGGTTTGCTTAAAAAACCCAGAAACATATTTTTGAAGTCTAGTTTGAAAATGGAAAAGACATAGAATTACTAAGAATATTTAATTTAAATATGTGACAGCTTTACCTTAAGTACTTTTTACCTATTTGAAAGCAAAATTTTAGATGATTTGCAACTTTATGAAGGTATTGTCATTCCGTCAGCCATCACGTTCCAGGTCCAGATTACTTTCTGTCTCTCTCTCCCTCTCGACACTGTACCCCCTCCCCACAATGTGCAAGTGCAGTTTACACCAAATCCCGTCACTTTTCTGTGCACTGTTCCCTACCATTTTCTACAGCTTCAGTTTGATCCTTAACACTATGCTTCTTATTAATTACTATCGCCTTCTGATTGATCTGGCTTCCAGAGTTTTCCTCCCTCCTCAGTCCATTCTGCAAGCTGGTACCTAAATAACCTTCAGAATGCTTCTGATTTTCCTTTTTTTTTTTTTTTTTTTTTTTTGCCTGGCCAAGGGACCCTCCACAGTCTTGCTCTTCATCTTCATTTCTACCTTTTAATTTGGACCCAGTCTTTCCTCATTATGGATGTGCCTATAGCTCTGATCTGTTCTCTAGGACTGGAGTGTCCAGCTTTCTCCTCTCCATGATCTTATTCCTACCTGGGAATACGCTAGTAGAGACAGTGTAAAACAACTACAGAAATGCCATAAATATTTAGGGACAAAGTGTGCAATAACTATGGAGATAATGTGTGTAGGTGCATTCTATATCTTTTTGTTGCACATTTTATTCACTTTATTATTTTAACTTCCTTTTTGTGTCCAGCAATGGTGATATTTTTCTGTTCATTGTTTGATAGTAGTATGTGTCTCCTCGGATATTGATAATATACTCAAGACTTCCGTTTTATTTTCTTTGATAACTACAGCACAGAATAACTTTTACTCAGACATGTTAGTCCATTGTCCAGAACCCTTTAATATGTAGCATGTGCAGCTTCCCATCAATATCAGTATCTCTGGAAAAGAATTCTGGAATCCCTCATATGTGATTTTGCTGCTCACTCAGAAGAGCAATGATAGATTCCAAATCTTTAGTATTTAGCCCTAACTATATGCAGTGAGCCTTAGAAAAATTTAGGGTTGCTTAAAAAACCCAAAAACATATTTTTGAAGTCTAGTTTGAAAATGGAAAAGACATAGAATTACTAAGAATATTTAATTTAAATATGTGACAGCTTTACCTTAAGTACTTTTTACCTATTTGAAAGCAAAATTTTAGATGATTTGCAACTTTATGAAGGTATTGTCATTCCGTCAGCCATCACGTTCCAGGTCCAGATTACTTTCTGTCTCTCTCTCCCTCTCGACACTGTACCCCCTCCCCACAATGTGCAAGTGCAGTTTACACCAAATCCCGTCACTTTTCTGTGCACTGTTCCCTACCATTTTCTACAGCTTCAGTTTGATCCTTAACACTATGCTTCTTATTAATTACTATCGCCTTCTGATTGATCTGGCTTCCAGAGTTTTCCTCCCTCCTCAGTCCATTCTGCAAGCTGGTACCTAAATAACCTTCAGAATGCTTCTGATTTTCCTAAGGCAAACTTTTTTTTTTTTTGCATGGCCAAGGGGCCGTCCACAGTCTTGCTCTTTGTCTTCATTTCTGCCTTTTAATTTGGACCCAGTCTTTCCTCATTATAGATGTGCCTATAGCTCTGATCTGTTCTCTAGGACTAGAGTGTCCACCTTTCTCCTCTCCATGATCTTATTCCTACCTGGCTCTCAAGTCTTACTTCCTTTGGGAAAATAGCTCCCTGACTATCCTAGTCTATAGTGGTCTTTTTCTCTCTCATGGGCCTTAGAGCACCCTTCCTTCACTTCTCTACTTTTTTTTTTTTAACTGAATTATGTTGTTTTTACTTTTGTGGCTTGTTAGGCATTTAAAATTTTTATTTAGTAAAACCTAAAACAACATTTTGTTTGCTGTCATTCTTTTTCCCTTCTTTTCTGGAGCTCTGTCTGGCCCCATTCACTGCACAAATTTAGGGAGATCGCCCACTTTTTCCTTTAGGGCAGATTGCAATTACATATGGGCTAAACTAGAAAGTGGCTCTGCCTAAACCATCTCCATATTTCTTGCCCGAAATATCCAGATGATGTTGGAGCCCGTATTCTGTTGGCATGTGAAGCTGCATTGCATTTATGATATTTAACTTCTTAGGCAGCATATCCACGTAGAATATGAGTTAGCTCTGACTTTGCTGCTTAGAGACTGCTTAAAACATGGGTAAATCAGCCTCCTAGAAGATTAGTTTCTTTTTATGTGAAATGAAGTATTAATAACAGATCTTGCATTTTGAAAATTAAAATCATCGAGTGTACTCTAATGAACTTTATAGTGTTTTATACTTAACCCAGGTTCAGGCACTTAAATATGTACTAACATCAACTCATGCAGTAAACTCATTGAACCCTCAAAACAAGTTTGTGAGGGGGGCTAATACATGTTAGAGAAGAGGAAACCGGTGAGAAATCATGTGCATAGTCACAGGTAGTGGAAGTGGTACTGGAAAGACACGTGGTGGTGTGGCTCCGGGACCGGCTGTGGCCAGGACCTCTCTGTAAGTGGCGCTGGTATTGTTAGCCACCGCTGCTCTGTGCTTTCCCGCTTTGCCTCCTCAGCCAAAAGCTTAGCAGATTCAGAGACATCCAAAGGCAAGCCAATTGTGACTTCAAATCTTGGAACTTTTCCCCATTTCCATTTTAATGTGAAAAATAAACGCAATGTCTAAACACTCACAATAACAAACCTGCCCTGGGATTAAAAGGACAAAATGCTGTATAAACTTAGGGGAGGATCACATTGCTAAAATTAATGCATATTGAGCTTATTTTATTTAATATTAGAAGTTAGAGAAGTCAGCATTTCAGTAATGAAGGCAATGCAAGTGTGATTTACAAAATATATAGTATAAAGACAGCCTGGGAACTCATAAACTTTAATTCTTTTGTCTATTTTAGGACTTTCTGGGACAAGTGTTTTGTACATTGGGGGAGATTGTTGGTTCACAGGGAAGTCGCCTGGAAAAGCCAATAGTGTAAGTATTTTTAAATTCAGACAATGAAATGTTAACTCTCATTTTTATTCTTGCAGTTTGGAATTGATAAATACATGCTTGTGCACAAAATGTGGGTTTTAAAATCTTATTTATGAGTTTTACTTCAAAAAATAATTTTGACATGTTTATAAAGGATAAGTTATATTTCAGCTGTCATATGCCTTGCTACAAAATGTTCACAAAATGAAATGAGCACATTTAAACAAGGAGATATGTTGTTTTCCTTTTGGTGTACTACTGTCTTAGATTTCATACTTTTTCTTATTTAGAGAGTATTTTATTAGTTTCTGTGATCAAACACATGTAGATTAAAACCTTACATATTTAATACAATGGAAACATTGTTGAATGTTTCTAGACCGATATGGCTGTTAATTTCTGTACAATGCCAACCCAACTCAGTACAAATGGGAGAGTTTTTCTGAAGTTGACAGCACAGCTTCCAAAAATTCAAAAAAAATGTATTTTTATATATTTATATAAAAGGACCAATAGCAGTATGGTATACATCAATAGCAGCAAGAGCTTTTCCAAGTTCTGCAGTCATCTGAACAAAATTATAGAGATATCTAGCACAAACCATTAAAAAAAAAAGATTAAAAGGCCCAGAAAACAGCAAAGTTCTGTTACTGTTGTGATACCTGGCACCATTTTTTTTTCATTAGCTTCTTAGTCATCATCTGGAAAGAAAACATTCTAGAATAACATCATTAAAACCAGCTCTGATAAAGCATGGTCACTACTATGTATCATAAAGCAGGTACAAGATATTTTACATTCACAGAGGTATGATATAGTACTGCCCTCCATCTATAATGCTAGTGATACAATTTTAAAGGCATTGTTTGAGACTTGATTCTGTTTCCCCAGCAGAGGGCCTCAAGAGAGGAATGACAACTTTTTGAAAGACATTTTACTCCTCGGGGCCAGGACTATATGTAGCACCACCTTTTATACCATATGTTTAATAAATACATTTTTGGTGATTGAGGTTTTAGTAATTTTTATTACAAAATTGGTTTGTAAAGAAGGAGATAGGTGTAAATGTTAGAGAAGGTGGTTGCTGTGGGTTACATCTTCTACCTTCACCTTCAATTACTGGAATCATGCTTCATTTTTTTTATTAGTTGAATGGGATAATCCTATTTTCTCCAGTTCCAAAAATGCGGAAAACAAACTCCTGACATTTTTTCCTTATTCTTTCCTTCCCCTGTCCTCCTCCTTCTCCTCTTGCTAATTTCAATTATTTGGATGCACCTAATTGTTTATAAAAGATCAAAAGATCTGGGAAGAATACTAAGGCATATGCAGAGCTAAATGCAATGTCTAAAGGTTTAGGGAATTTTGAATCTATATCTTCACCAGTCTTTTAAGAATCTTAACCTTACAAAATAAATGTCAAAACTCCACATATCTATTCTCCTTTGGCATCAAACACTATGGCCAAGGCATCTATTTTACACTCCCTGCATAAAATTCAATACTTAATGTGTTCAGTGCTATGCAAGAACTTCTTAAGATAATAAGAGGTCTATGAATTCTAACTTCCTTTATTTAATTTGATTTTCTTAGAAAATTATTGTAAAATGTTGGTTTGGAAACATTTGGCTATGAACTACCTTTTAAACATTCTTTTCAAGTGTAACTTGTTTTCACATATAATTATAGGATGTGGAAGCTTATTTAAATATATTTTGTTCACTTTAATAGATAAGTAGTACGTTATTTATAAAGCAACTATACATAAATATTTTATTAAGTGCATATAATTTTTTTAATGAATATAATTATTATTGCATTTTTTAGTCTAGTGCTCAAGTCCATTGAGATTCCTGGAAAATCACAAAATCTATATTATTTTTTTTTCAGGAGGAAAAAAAATCAATAATATAAACAATGACAACTTAAAGATATCTTTTAACATTCTTTGAGAGAAAACAAAAGCAGTTAAAATATAATTTTTATTTCCGAGCAACAGAGTAGATATTTTTATGGAACTTGCATTCATATTTTGAAATTAATTTTATTAGAGATTTTTATCTGATTTATTTTCTCCATAAAAGGAAATCATAACTTTATTTCAGAAAGCTCTTAAATTACATAGCATTTTTCCCCAGTGAAAAATCATTGTTATGTTAGTCCTGAAACATGTTAAAAAGTTTAATTATATTGGTTGCAGTATATGGTAAACAGAATATAGAGTTGGTAAAAATAGGTTTAACGTTGGGGGTATGTGAACATGGAGTTAATAAAGATATTGTAATAATCATAACCTACATGTCTTTTTCCACCCACATATTGTGCAAGATGTGGTCCTTGTTCAGCTAATTCAACAATTCCCACTAGATAAGACTAAGAAAAACAAATTCATGCTACTTAGATACCTAGAGTAGTGATTGGCAGAATATGCAAATGTGAGGAGTATTTGCTGGCATTTGAGTCACTATCATTTTACATAACTAGAAGAGATGAGATGTCCTTTAGATTTTTCCTAGCTCCTGCTGAGGACGGTGTAGCATAAATGAGGTAAAGCCTTAGAACCCTGTTCAGATAAAATGAAGGTATTGTAACTGCACACTTCATGTCATCTGAGGGTATTTTGTAATTTAGGAAAATGTTGGTACTATATCTATCTTACTGAAAAAGGTCTAATTAATTCCATTTTTAAAACTGTGTACAACTAATCTTTTATTCAGCCGTTGACCTTATTGGGCAGTCTTCTCAGGCAAATAGACATTATGAAAGGATTTAAAGGTGGGCTTAATGTTTGAGCAGTGGGATATTTTAAAATTTTAGTAAGTATAGCTAGGCAAATATTGGCATTAAATGGGTAACAAAATGACAAAATGTAGGGCTTGCGAGTGGGAAAGAGATTGGCTACAAAAGAATGAAGCAAAGAACAGAACGATAAGAATTGTAGAATGGTGACCTGCTACCTGAGGAAATCACATTAACTGCTTGAGATAAAGAGAATGTGAGAGAAGGAATTCAAATGGAAGATTAACCAAAAATAGGGCAGTAAAATTGAATGTCGTTAGCCTCCTAATGGAAGGATATCTTGGATTTATTAATTAAAGCATAGAGGAATATAGTCACATGCTCTTATCTGAGCAATTACTCCGACTCAGTGGATTGGGGGAAAGGGGAGTATTTTGTAGTCATTCACCCTCTTGCTTGAGAAAATATTGGCTTTTATAAAAAAATTCTAGCTATGAGAGAAGCATGTGTCTCGAGGAAGGGGAACATGTGGATTGAAGAACCAGGTCCTCTGAACTGAGCATGCTTGCTGTCTTGGGTTCTTGCGAGTTCAAGTGCTTTAAGAGAAGATGTAGCTTCTATTCAAATGGGATTTGACCCCCTTCCTTCAATGTTACTGAAAAGCAATCAAAAGCATTCATACACTTTGTTTTAAAACGCATCGTTAGGGTGAGGAAGAGAGTGAAATGCTGTTTGCATGGAAATTTTCTCTTTCCGTAATGTCAGAGTAGCTCTTCAGAGCAGCTGGTCCACTCCACGGATGCGTGCAGATTCCACCCTCATCCCTGCTTCCCCTGCTCAGTGACATCCTTTCCCATGTGCTTGCTTTTTTGAATCAATCTAATGGGCAGATGGTGGGGAGAGATCAGCAGGGCGGACGATACGGAATATTTCAGTAGAAGAAAGAATAGCTTTGGAAGAAAGGAGGAAGCCAGTGAGAAAACTGGAAATAATACAAGGTCAGGGAAGTGTTTTCTTCTCTGATAGGCAGCTTTAGGACAAACACAGTTTCTAAAGACTTCATGATTTACCACATGATATATGAAAATAGTGGAATAGATAAAAGCATGATAGAAATAATGAAGTTCATATTAAGGAAATGATATGTATGTAACATGTAGCTCTTACATCTCTATCTCATAGTCCCTTTTGCCTCCCCCTGTTCCTGTCTTCCCCTGTGAACCTGTCCTGGCCAGGACTCAGCCATGTAAAGATAACATTGTAGGGTGGTCACTAAACATCCTACCAGTTTTTGTGGTCGGTTCCTCCTGGCTGGAGGTAGAAATAGAGTTCGTACACTCTCCTGTTGCAGCCGTGACTTTTGTCAGTCTTGTTAAGCGTTAGGGGATTGTCCCCTGTGGATGAGTATAGGCTTCCGAATGCAGCACCAGACACCTCCTGAGGCAGATAATCCACCTGCAGTTAACAAAATGGACTCATCTTGTGTCCCGGATGTTATTTTTCTTAAATAGCATCATCAAAGTGACTTAGTGCTTATTTACTAATTTGTTTTAGATTAGAGATTTATTTTCCAATTAGTTTCCCATTTGTATTCTAAATTATTCATAATATTCCCTTGTTTTTTTCCCTTTAAATGGCCCAGTTTAAATTATTTTCTGTTCAGGTATTCAGAATAATTTCTTCTAGCTTCCTAATTGCAATTGTGTTATAATATCTCTTCAGAAGTAAACTTCTTAAAATGATGATAACTAGAAAATTTGAAGATGCAAAGCAGGCGTAGTAGAGCTTTAAGTTATTTATTATTAATTAAGTCTTTGAGAACTAAGTTATGTTTATTACAAAGGAAAAATAGTTTCTTGTACATAGCCGTATGCCCTATTAAATAATCCGCATTTGAATTTAAACTCATTTTTTTTATTTTCTGTTTTTCAGTTATTGTTGTCACTTTAAAATATTTTTCTCATTTTTTATGACATAAAAATTAATTTTTTAGCCCTAACCGGTATGGATCAGTGGATAGAGCATCGGCCTGAGGACTGAAGGGTCCCAGGTTCGAGTCCGGTCAAAGGCAGGTACCTTGGTTGCAGGCACATCCCCAATAGGAGGTGTGTAGGAGGCAGCTGATCTATGTTTCTCTCTCATCGATGTTTCTAACTCTCTATCCCTCTCCCTTCCTCTCTGTAAAAAAATCAATAAAATATGTATTTTTAAAAAAGCTATTTTTTAATATCTTGTAGAAACTTAGGTGAACTATTTTGAAA